CCCCATTCACCACGGTTTTTAAATTTCCCGTAAGTAGTATAAACTTGTGGTAAAGATGGATCAAAAGATGCTAAACGAGATTTACGAAAAAGTTCAAAAAAGCTCATTTCGTTTGACGACCAAGAATAGAGAAAAGTATTTACTAAACTATTGTTTACAGTAAAAAAAAAAAATCTCAACATGTGTAGACCAATAAGATTCTGAAATCAGATCACATCAATTTTTTAATATAACGCTCAGGGGGGATTAGTAATCACACAAGTTTTTTCGTCTTCAATGTTTCGTTCCTCAATGATATCATCGTGTTCATAAGACAATTTAGCTGCCTCTTGACTAAATTTAATGATGACATTATCATTAGTGTCGCTTACGTTATTATTTTGATCTTGAGGTAAATTATCAGTATTGACAACTATTTGTTCTGTAGGTGGCACGCGCACTGTAGGAGTTGATGAAGACGAATTATTAGATTCAGCTATGTCTTTAAACACGTCAACCCTTTCAGCAGATGAAGTATTTGTTTTCCGGAGAGTTATGCCATCTAGCTTGATTGTGTTTAAACTAATTGACTGAGTGGGAAAATTGAGAGAAGTTGTCCGCGACATTGTATTTACGCGTTTCCCGATCTTCATCTAGAAGGATGGATTTTTTGAAATTTTTTTCAGAATAAAAGTTCTTTTAAAAATCACAGAAATCACAGAATGAAGTTTCTACCAAAGGTATGGATATTCCGTGGACGACGATCGAAGAAAAGACCAGGAAAAATACAACTTAAAAAGAAATCTTGATTAGTGCCTTTTTTCTTAATGAAATTGCGATGGTAATATAAATCTACCTGGTTTAATGACTTCTTGTGCCACAGAATGTGCATCATATTTTTCCAGTGCCTCTTTTGTGAGTTCACCGTAAAAGACAGCGCCTACACCGATCGGGCCAAACCATCCAGCAAAGAGTCCTATAATTATTTCACGTTTTTTTCTTAAGAAAAACGAATGGAAAGAGAGAAAAAAAAAAAGAACACGAATAGATGAAAAGCGATAGGACCTTCGCGATAAGTTTTTAGCGCAGGTATTTTTCTCATCAACGCCATTATGATAGGGAGTCGCCGAAACAGAATTATGAGAATGGCCATCACAGCCAAACG